ACTCACAACTCTTTGAGTCTAGTCACGGGATCTAACCAATGTCTTTATCCAATGGGCCATCTGTCCAATCACCAGAAGAAGGCCCGAGCATACAACAGCCGAAACGTTGTGAATATGGCAAGGAAGATAAGGATTACAATTCGAATAATGTAAATAATGCAAGTAACTGTTTCAGTGTTTATTCAATTTGGAAAGCTGTAACCGAAGGAAGTAGTGATATTTTTTTTCATTTTGGAGCTTCTTTAGTGAAACAAGTTTCTTTCCAGGAGGAGAAAAACAAACAAATTTCAATTATGGTCATCTTTAATAATAGGTCAAACCCTATGTCAATATATATATATATATATATATATATATATATATATATATTTTTTTTTTTTTTTTTCAGGTAAAATTCCATTTCTACTTCGAAATTTTGTTCCCAAACATCAAGCGGTAGTCTGCTTGTCAAAATTGACTAGCACTATATATTTTCCTTTAGTAAAACATTTAACTTCTTTATATTCATGCTCCTATGTTCTAAAACTACTTGACTGGTATCGGCCATTAAAAACTGATTATATTTCAGTTAATCCTTGCTACAGAAACAAGATGGAGGAGACTAAACTGAATAGGAGGATGAATAAAGGTTTAAATCTATTCATTGCTGTATAAGCACGTGCGACTTTAGTACATATCAAATCAGCGTAAAAGCTATGATTATTGTAAGTAGTTGTTAGTATAGTCTGGCACAAGGCTATAATTATTCATGCAACTGGTGCTGACTGAGTTCTCTATAGTAGTCCATCTTGCTACCCACACCACTACAGTAAAATGCATTTCGGTGGCGCTTATGAATAGCTAATCTTTGGAAAAGGCATATTGATGGCGAATTAATTTCCTTACTGACCTTATTGGAGACAGTCTGTACGCTATTGAATGCTTCAACAGCCCATGGATTTGATATTCCAGGAGATGGATGCGAAGTCCTTTCTGTTTATATGATCTTTATTTTTGTAGGGTGTATATATATATAAATATACACCCTACAAAAATAAACATTCGCGGCCTGACGATTGCGTCTAGCATGAAACAGCCTGTCGCATCTGAGTGTTCACTTTTATATCTTTTATTTATATTTACATACACTCGATCTCTGATATTGAGCACTTTATCCCATAAATATAGAACACCTTAAAACTATATTTCTTTATATATATATATATATATATATATATATATATATATATATATATATATATATTTTTTAATGTATGCGACATTTATGTGTAAAAGTGCTCCATATCAGAGATAGAACGTATGAAAATATAAAACTGACATTCAGGTCAACACCCAGCGTTGACAGTTTATTTCATGCTGAAACGCAAACTTCATGACAGGAAGATTACGTTTAAGCATGAAACAGATTGTCGTCGTTGGGTGTTTACCTCAATATCCACACACACATATGTGTGTGTAAGATGAGAACAAATAGAGTACAATTCCAACGTTCGTAACATTTAATTTAAAAGGTCGCTCGGAATAAATGAATATATATCAACATCGTAATTTTCTCTATTGCTTTAATAGAGATACTAATGTCCGTGAATATGAGAGGATCCTATTGAAAATAAGTAGACAAAACTTGTCTAGATTATTTAATGAGATATGTGTGTGTGTGTGTGTGTGTGTGCATAATAGAAAAAAGTTTGGGAATTGGGCAGAGGAATCCCTGATGCTAAAAACGTGTAAACTCTCAAATACCGTTATACTATGCAGCAACTGGATAAATAAATCGTTAACTTTATATACTGCAATTTCCCATGTATAATACGCATTTTTCCTAAAAATAAGCCAAATTAGAGGGGCGTATTATGTACAGCTACAAAAAGCCTTTAAAAAAATTCCCCTTCGATAGGTCGATTTCAGTTGCGAAATGACTACTGACCACAAACATAAGACAATTTGACACTAACATTCGGCGATTGCGACCCCATAAGGATGTCAAACACAATCATATGTACCTAACAATATGTAAAATGTAAAATAAAATAGGAATTATCATAAAACTAAATGAGAATATTATTCTGCTTAAAACCTTTTTTAATAAGAGTAGGAAACACTGGTCGTAATGAAATTGGAGAGGTACGGTTTGTAGGGTTTGATTACCAAACAAGGGGTGCGTATTATGCGTGAGTAGAAGTATTTTCCCGCACTTTCAGCAGAATTTTCGGGGTGCGTATTATGGATGTAGGAGTATTATACATGGGGTAATTACGGTATATATAAGTTATGTGCGTGTATATGATAGCGATGGAACATCAGTTTTTCGATTTGAATAAAAGACATGAAAATGCAAGAAAAATAAAGAGAAAATGGAGATACTTCCGTTCATGCCTTAAGGAAAAGGAAACAAATATTTTAAGACTAATTATAAGAAAGATACTAAGTTTCCAAATATTTTATTGTCAAAAATTTTTTTTTTTAAATTTTTATATCTATATAAATATAATAATACGTTTATGTCATCAGTTAATTTGATTAAAAGTTACTTTCTCTGAACGAATCCCTTTGAAAAGAAGGGATTTTCGCAGTTGAAATATTTGTAATTAATTAGACCTATTCCATTTGTGGTTAGAACTCATATTCTTCTCTTTCTTGGCTCTATCGCTTCTTCGCTCCTTTAAGGAAGTGTGACAAGCGGAAGAGCCAGAAAATAATGTTAAAAAAAAACAAAACAAACTGTGACGATGAAAACAATTTCACACAAATGGTTAAACAACCATTATTTCTCATCGTAGAATTTCAGATATATATTTAAGATTAATAAGTATGACCTAAGTAATCAAGACAAATAAATACCATTTTTAGGGTTCAAAATATATCAGTAAAAAAGAGAAACATTGAAATCATCAACAAGGAAAAAAGATGTGTTTCTCCAATGTTATAGAATGCAAATTCCGAATCTGTATGTCACAGTAAAGGGTATGATATATGTATTTGAAGATATGCAGCAGTTGCTCCTCGTACCTAAAGCATATAAGATTTAGCATATGTAAATTAACAAAACAAACGAACTTAAAATATGTTTATAAAATAATCAGGAAATGAGGAAAACACATACCTAAATTGAAAGCTAAACATTTTAAAGTTAGTTTCTTCCTCTTGATTATTTTTTGTTTGTTTTATTGTAACATATATTGATCTCTGTCTATATCTCTGAGATGAGGTATTATGATTACTTGCATTATTTACATTATTCGGACTGTTATCCTCATCGTCATTGCCTTATTCACATCGTTTCGACCGTTGTAC